ATCCGACGGGATACGAGACAACAAAGCACCTGTAAGCCTCAGTGTATGCCTTCATAAGTCTGTAACTGGAACGGGACGATGAATAAGAAAGGCTCTGACTAAGAGTAGGACCCAGGAGATGGAAAAAACAGATACAATCGTCTTGGAGAATGTTTTACACGTCTTGAACTGGTATACCACCACATACTGTACCAGATGTTCCTGTGGTATAGGACTTTATACCAAAAGAATTTTGAGGGATCGATAAATGAGTTTGTAGTCCTTGTCAAAAAGATTGAGGAAGATAACAGGGGACCCATAAAGCCAGTGGGGCGAAACGCAAGCAAAAACAAAACGCCTTATGAGATGATTTGGGATAAAAAGTGATTTAAGACGTGAAACATAAAACGTGATCCTTCTAACCTTCAGAAAAACATTTTTCACGTGGTCAGACCAGATAAAGTTACGGTTGACAATAACACCAATGTATTTAACAGGCGGTTGTCGATCCATCTGGTCATCTAAGAGAGATACAGGGAGGGGGAGGGCATTTGCCAGTTGATCATACTTTTCATCTTTTACAAAGGGAAAAAATTATCTCAATACATTTTGGGGTTCATACGGAGGTTCCTTTGTTGAGACCACTCAACTATTTCTGAAATACCATCTTGTAAAGAGATAATGGGTTGAGGGTAGAACAGTCTGAATATTATGTCGTCTGCATACTTAACAAGAAGAGATAAATTGCCCACAGGCATAGAGGAAGTATAAGCGGAAAATAGAAAATGGGCTAAAATAGCGCTTTGAAGTATGTCTTGTGAGCAGGGCGGCAGTGAAGGGATAGACGACCTTGAAACGCGTGAACTGCTGACGATTGGAGAAATAGCTGGCCAAGATTTCAATCGTAGGATTTTGAACGCCGCCTGAAGAGAGGATATTTAACCATATTTGCGTATCAGTCGTGTTGAAGACATTGCTACATGCTATAAGTCATATGTGGACAGCCTTGCGCTCCTTATCTAGGGTGGATAAACCCAACGCGAGAGAGATAGGTAAGAGCATCCCGGGTACCGTGGAAATGGGTGTACGCCAGCTGGTGTGGGTGGCCGACATTCAACCATGTGGATAAGGTTTTAGTCAGAAGCCTCTCAAACACCTGAAAAATAACCGAGTTCCAGGCAAAGGGACGAAATTTTGAGGCGCTTTTCTGCGGTACTTCGGTGATTGCCTCTATTCTCCAGCAGTTGGAAACAGTTTACCGCGAAATACAATTATTGAAAAGTTCGCACACACACACACACACACACACAATACATGTGAGTATTATGTTTGATGTGCGCTTGAAGAGCGGTCTTCGTCTTCCACCATATTCCACAATGAACAGACATCCTGGAGCGTATTGGCGGATTTGATTGTATGTAGGAACAGAAGATGCAAACAGACTGTTGAAATAATTGACCTCTGGTCTTGTAGGAAACCGGGTACTGATTGTTTCACGGAATAAATATTCCGTTTGTGGTCGTGAGGAATCCATTTGCGAGAAGAGCTAAACATTGCCACACTGGAAAGTTGCGTTTTTCACACCAGTGATAACAACTTGGTTTGTGCCACACCTTCCTCCCACACACACGTAGGATATGCATGTCATACGAAAACGAAACGAAAGGTTTTTTCCTGTCGCTGTAATGACACTTGAGGTGTTCCGTTTGTCGGTAGTTCACTTACTCCCACCCCATTGTTCAGTTTTTTCACGTGATTTCATTATGCGAATTGCAAATTGGTGATGATCGTGTGTCATCACGTGATAGATTTTGTTTTACATTTTAATTTGTTAGATCGGTGGGATCCGAACCTACTCCCACACCATTGTACAGTGTTTATTCTTCCTCAACGTTGGAAGCAGTTTGAGAATAAGGGGTCAAATCCGATTGATCGAAATGATGATGCACATGAAGTCGTCATTGTGCCGTCAGTTTTCTAATACCATATCAATTTTCACTCAAAGATATGTAAGTTCAACAATATATATTATGAAATCTCATAACCATATTCAGAAGGAAGGGTGGGGCATTAGTGAACAGTGTGGGGTTTTCCAACCCGATATTGATTAATTTTCTTTCAAAATTTGTCCGACATCTTTGTCTAGCTTGGTTTTCTCCAATACATTCACCTGATTGATTCGGTTTTTATCCCTCGTTTTTTTCTTCAGGGGAAATGTCAACGTCGTGATCCACCTTGCAAATATTTGCATCCACCACAACATTTGCGGGAACAGTTGATGCAGAACGGACGAAATAACATGATTATTCGAAATATGCAACTGCAACTGTTCCAGCATCAATTGATCGCCCAGAGTGGAATGCTTCCGTTGACTCCCTCAGCCGTGGCCGCAGCCGCTGTGGTAGCCGCACAAGCTGCCGCTGCCGCGTCACCGGGTTCCGCGGCCAATTCACCCGTAACCGGTGCTAACGGTGCTCCAAATTCGGTAAGTCACCCGAACGATTGCGATGATGATGCTCTGGGTGGTAACGATTCAAGTCGATCTATACCTTCTATGTCTTTATCTATGTTCGTGAAGTTATAAATATGTGGTTTTGCTTTATACACACACCCGATTCGAAACTCCTTTTTGGATATTCGTTTTTAGCTCCTCTATCCGGGACCTGGACCACTGGCAATTGGTGCACCAGTACCGACTAGTACTTATCCTTTTCTGGTGAGTGGTGTTGTGTCTGTCAACTGGTTTTGGAATGCTTTGGTGTCGTAAACAACTAGAGGTTACATTTGTATGCTTAATCTCCCTAGATTGAGCTTGATGTGAAAGCAAATTGCTTATATAAGCAGAGTTTTTTCCACATACGGAGCAAGCCTAAAATGAACGTCTGCGCTTTTTGTAGGAAAAGAACCAACCAAATTTATCATTTCTTCGTACAACTAGTTCAATAATCAGTCTAGAATTCACTCACTGAGTGGCCCAATCAATCAATCAATCAATCAATCAATCAATCAATCAATCAATCAATCAATCAATCAATCAATCAGTCAATCAATCAATCAATCAATCAATCAACCAACCAACCAATCAATCAATCAATCAATGGATTGAAAACCGAATAAACTTATTTATCCATTTCGTCTACACAAGAAGACATATGTTGTCAGAATCGATATTGACCATCTATGAAATAATCTGTGAAATATTTGTTCAAAATATCAATAATATTTTTGTTCCTTTTCTATTTCATTATTTTTCCACAGAATATGGGTTTCGCGCCGTATTTGAATGCCATCACCAGCACTGGTCTGCCAACAGGAACTTCTACCGTTGCACTCCATCTTCCCGGAACTGAAGTGCTTCCCCCGACAGAACCGAATACTTCGACCACACCGGCCAAACGAGCCGCTCTTACAGATGCCAAAAGTGGTTTGCCACTTTATCTGCCTCGTACTAACGGTGTGCATATGGCGAATGGGACAAGCGGGAAAATGGATACCCAGGATGCCAGTTCCGCTGCCGGCGGATGCATGATGGTCGTGAACGGTGGTCCAATGGATTCACTGACAGCTGCCGCTGCTGCAGCCGCGGGCGCTGCTCGTGAAATGAATGGTTCTCCACATTCCTGTCCAGTCACGATGCGATCCTCGGCCAGTACAGGAACCAATTTGGGTGCAGCGGCCGCGGCAGCTGCTACGCTGTACGCTTTGCAACATCCCCATGGACCGCCAAATGCGGCAACACTATTGAACATGCATCCGACACATCCGGCCGCTGGCCATCATCCACATCCGATGGCTTCGCTTCAAGCCGCTCCGTTGACCGCTGCAATGGTGAACGGCAATGCCAACGGTGTGGCTCAAGCACACTTCTCCACAGTTCCGGACCCCACTGGTTTCTTCCAACCTGCTTGTGAGTAACGCTGCTTCTTTACTGTTTTTCTATCCCACCCCTTAACTTATTGATTTTGATCGCTGAAACTGGTTTGGAATCCTAACGCAGAATTGTTGGATACTGTGCAATCCGGCTCGTTTATTTTGCCTGATTGCAAATTATTCAGAGTTCTGTGTTACCCGTGGTGATACCTCTGAGGGTGGCTTCGTTTCTGTGGGGTTATCAACTAAACCGGAACTTGGATACGAAATCACACCGAAACCGCTGTGTTCGGATATTTCAGACTTGTGGAGTGTCATACAGTTGAGTATACAAAATATCGTGCAGTGTTCGCCATGTGTGTCACCCACCTTTCTCACCATGGAGCTGAGACTCCACTCAACGGAGATTCGAAAATTCGCATGTCATCTCGGAACCGCCCTAACAGTCTCGGGACACACCTGAATGTACTTCAAACTAACCAATTGTTGGTTGAAAATCGCCAAGGTGTATTGCTCATTGTGATTTCCCCCTAATGTTCGTTTATCGTGTATGGTAACAAGTGCATTGAAGTTTGGCCCATACCAGTCGGCGAGAGCCATCTTACATCATTTTCAACGACCGGTAGGCTTCTACTTCGGTGTGCATCAACAGTGTCACGATTACGCACTACAAGCGTAATGAACCGGTCGGTGGTCACAGGGCCTCGTGTCGGGTTGAGTTGCAAAAATCACGAAAACTATCCAATCAAATCACGAAAAGGAACACAGGTAGGGAGAAAAAGCCCATGAGAAACAAACGAGTAATCGCGCTGTAGGTGATAAAATAGAACCAATGGAGAGAAATGCTACTCAATGCATAGGTTAAGGGGTAAACGAGAAACGATGGGTTAATTGATTTTCATTAGGATAATTTTTGTTTGATTCTTTAAACGCTAAAATCGCGTTATCACTGTTACGAGTTGATTCAATTCAACGGGGCAGGAAATGAGGAAATTGCGGGGTGATTCGTCAAAGGACAACGAGCACGGAGTCCAAACCATACAAATCGATAGAACATTATTTTCATTTAGTTGTTTTGCTACTGACAAACGGATAAGTAGCTAAAATAGAAATGTCAAACAGGACACAAACAGGCGTGTTTTGGCTTCACACCTCAGGTTAACCACATCGTTCGGAATTCGGGTTGTGATGTTGTGGATTACTTTTGATACACTAGGTTTTAATAGACAGAAATCCTTGTACCGCTCGGAGTTTTCCTAAATAAACTATCATATTATTTGCAAGTCTCAATATTCCATAATATCCTACTTCCGGTAAAAATTCATTTTTACGGGCGTTAGTTGAATGTTTCCGTAAATATGAGTTATCTAATCATTTACCATCCAAGTGTCTCATTGTGATTCATAAATCTACTGCGAGTTGTATTGTTGTCTTTTACAGGTCATATTGAAATACCCTCGTACCCTTATCAATAGGTTCTTCTAAGAGGCACGGGCACGCATTCACGCCGGAATATGTCCAAGACGAACAGAAAACCCCGATGACCACGTATTGTGTCCGACTGATTTGGCCCGATCCAACGGTTTCCTATTCTCAATTATTCTACCCTATGAATCCAGACACCCACACAAACACACGCATCTACTCACCACAAACTCCCATACAATGAATGGAGCATTCACCAGGCACATACCGAAGTTTTGGTAATATTCATGTCTACGCCCACGGTCAAATTGGATTAGTATGCTATTCCCAACCACTGTCCCAGAATGAATCGAAATTTCCAACGATGCACACGCACACACACCCCACACACATACATACAAATACACGTTTATTTACCTAATCACCTGACACTTACCGAATTGTTCATCGTACTATACTGACACGTGGTCCGTTTATCCGCAACCCATCGTTCTCTCCTGTCCACCTGAAAAAAATTTCTCGTTTGATTTCGACAGACCGACTGGTTCGTCTTTTTGGCATCTGTCCTCTACATACACACTCACACAAACATATATATAGATATATATATATATATATTTACACACAAAGTTTGATCGACCAGAGGGTAATTGTGGGGGAAGGGTGTTGACAAATTGTGGACAAATCCATTTTTTCCGACATGATATCCCGGTTTTCATCGGATTTGTTCCCATGGTTGAGTCTGTGTTTGTGTGTGTGTGTGTGTGCGCGCGGGTGCGTGTGTGACTTAATAACCGGTGTATCAATCAATCAGTCAACCAAACGACCAACAAATCGTTCGATTGCATTATCCATTCAATGATCAATCGGAAGAAGATACAACAGTTGTTCTGTGAAATCGAATATGGTACAACACACGCACACACGCATACACATAACTATATCTATTTGGATATATGGAAACACGCGCACACACACACGTGCATAAAATATCCCGCCAGCCCCCGCCCCTCCTCGCTATCCATTCACCGTTCCTCACTCACTCATTGTTCGATTACAACACCGGGTTTCACAAAATTCGTGATTTGATCTGCCGTTGGGAAAATATAACAAAGACAGATTGAACATAATTTGTCACCATCATTTAACCACACACACACACACACACACACACACACACACACACACACACACACAAACCGACTATCAAGTCTCCCTTTATATACACCGTAAACATGATGCATACAAACAATAAACATTTATAGGTGTGCACGTATTTATACTTAAATACTATCCCAATCTTATTCGCTTCCCTACCGAGTCGCAAAACACACACACTTCAACCAAATGCAAACTAGGAACCTGGAAAATGCAACGCCGGACACAGAAACACAAAGAAACCACACCATTCAAACACACTACGTCTAACATTCGACCATGGAGTCACCATGAGTAGAGTAATCTGATGAGATTTTTATCATCATCATCATCACCACCACCACCATGTTGGCCTTCCTCGAACTTACTTTACTTCCTCATCCCCTCCAACCGTTTCTTCATACAGGACTGTTTTTCCGGTATCACCTCATGATGTTCCACGGTATTCCTTTTCTTTAGTGTTCCCCTTCATTACCTTTCTCTGACCTCTCTCCTACTCATTCAAACACTCACTTTCACCTTGTCTGTACACCACAAACCCACTCACTCACTCATCCAATCACCCAAGTTTTCTCCTTCCTCCTTCCTGCTCCCCGGTATCTCTTCCGATCACCTTCTTTCCGGCATTCAAACACACACACACATAATAAAAATTATTATTGTTTCCGTTATTATTTCCCATTTTGTTTCATCTTGTTCTGTTTTGTTTTTCCATTTGTGAATTTATAACCAGACTTGTTCACATGGTTGTGTGCATGCCCATATATGCGTGAAACTTCCACCCAATTTCAGCCTGCTGATAGGAACAGCAACAATCAGACCGACGGGCAGATAGATAGACAGGCAGAGAACACAAACAGAATCGTGAGCACAAATACACACACGTTTACACGAATGTATAATTTTCTCCATCGCATCTTCATACTTCAACGTGATTTTTAGCCCAAATTCATCCACTATGGGCAGAGATGTATGGATCTGTTTATTAGGTGTTTTATTTTATTCTTTTTATCAACCGGTATTATTCCTTCAAGCCGGGAAAATCTCCAGTCTTTCCCTCCTTCCCTCCCTCCCATCCACCAACCCACCCACACCCCGTCTGTTGTCCACATACCTTTTTTGTCATTTGATCAACCTCTTCCGTCTGCATTCTATTACTCTCCCTATCCCGGTCTGTACTCAAAAGAAGCGAAATTCATGCCCACCCCAACCCACTCCGGCCGGTACCTCACCCTCAAACATCACAATGTTCAACATTCGATTCTCCCGTGGGTGAACAATTTGGACGAGATCGGGACGGGGTGATTTTGTTCGATTTACACAATTGTTCCCAGTCCGTCTATTTGTTCCATATATATCTTTTTCTTTTCGTGTCTGCTGGACGGATAACCTGTACCTGGTCTCCTTCAATGATCCTAACTGCTGACTGTATCACTCTTCTTTCGCCTCAGTCCCGCCCGCCCCCCGGGAACTGCGCCAATCCATAAATGAGCTCCGGGCGCGAATAATAACTTATGATCAACGGAAGTGATACTAATCCCCTTCATCCGTACTATTCACTCAGAAGAAATTCTCCTTTTTTTGTTTTGTTTTGTTTTCATCTTGTCAGATGTGACCGACAAAAATTCACACAGGAAAATCTCAAACAAAGATGAGGAATTCCAGTTTTACTTCCTCGGAAAACTTATTCTTCATTCTTTTTTTTCTCTCTCTCTCTCTATTTCTTTCTTTTGCATCTTTCACTTGGTCCGATCGTTGTCCACTTCTTTTGCAAACAAGCACCATCCACCGTGATCTGTACACTTCGTTAACCTGTGTTCAAGTACCTCCTGGTAACAAGTTCTGCTTCGATTCTTAAGTATTCAATCATTCAAATCTAAAGTCTAATGTGCTTCCCATCTCATTCGTCATATTTGTGAGCGTTCTCCGTCGCCCCGCCCCCATCCATCCACGTGAATCGCCCCCTTCCCCTTCATATTTCTTTCTTCACCGCTCACGAACATTACCATTTTGCTCATACAACACAAAAGAGAAAGGTGTCATCTTTCTTTTCCCCTCGGGTTTTTTCAAACTCTCTCTCGATCATTCATCCCGTCTTGTCAACTGCCCGGTTTGTTTTTCTACGTCTTCCCTCACTGACTGACCCGTCCGGCTCGTTCCAGTTAACTTTTCTGTTTCAATGCAATTCGTTTTCCTGTCTTTTGACCAGGGGTATGCACTCACTCTCTGGTTCTTCTATTCTCCTTCAGTGTTTTTATTCAATTCATGTATTTCTTGATCAGACAGATCAATCCCAAATAACCCCGAAGAAACGGGAATGCCACAATGAATGAATGAATCAATCAGTCACCACCAAAACCATCATCATCAGATCCGACGCCAAGACCAAAACTCAGACAAAACAATAGCCATTCTAGGTCATCCGTCCATCTGCCTGTCTGATTGACTGGATGAAAATTGTA